AATAAATAAATAATTTTTATTTTAATTTCTTATTAGGAGATTTAGCGAGAGCAAAATAAAATTAGTTTTCTATATAAATAAATATTCCAATGTAGCTAAATTTAGATGCAAATACATTTTTTAATAATTTCCATAAATTTCTTTCTTTCATTTTGTTTTTTTTTTTTTTCAAAATAAAACTGCTATATTTTATATGATATTCTTTTGGGATTTTTCCAATTTTTCTACAAATTATTAGTTTTATAATTATTTCCAAGAAAAATTAATTCAAATCTTTAATACCTAAAATATATATATATATTGATATACATAAATATATTGTGGAAAGATTTAAGAACAAGATTTAGTCAATATTTAATAAAGAAATGGCAAGCAGTAAGGAAACTTAAAAGAGAGGCCCCTTAAACCATTTTGCCCGAAGGCATAGAAAAATGAGCATAAGAAATAAACAACAACTAAATAAATTTCCATTTATTTAATAATATAAAGAAGAAAAAAAAAAACAAAAGTAATTAAGTAGTTGGTTTAAACGTAATTAGCATTGGTAATAATAATAATAACAATGGATATACAACCACACAACTTTTTCGGCATATTGTAAAAAATATTGAAATCTTAAAAACAGAATCCTTAAATCCAAGATTATTGAAAAAATAAATAAATAAACTTAAATAATGAGATTAGTTAAATTCTTAAAAAGATAAATATATAAAACAAATGAAAACTCCCCCAAAAAAATATATGAAAACAGACACAGGTAAACTGTAATTAAAGCATTTTAACTGTTAGTTAAAAATAACAACAAAAACAACAAAATAATAATAACAAATAAAAATAATATCAATAAATCCATATTAGTATTAGCATTTACATTCAGAATCAATTACAAACAACAGTCTAAAAAATAAATGGAAAACAAAAAAAAAGTCAAAACTAAATCGTATATATTGTTTTTATACATATACCTACCAGTGTAAACATGAGTAAATATTTGTTATACTTTATTCCCACACTCACAGAAATAGGCATTTAGTTATGGATTAAAAGTATATTTTTAAGAAAATCATCAAAAAAGGACAGAATAATTTTTCACAGCTAATTTAAAAATTGAAGAAGAGAAATTATTAATATTTCATAAAATGACATTTTATCCCCATAAAAAATTATTAAGCTGAATGGAGATGTGTTCAGTTTTCATTGTTTACTTTGATGTGTGGCCCGAGGGCTTTAATAAAATAAATTGCCAAAATACATAATTGGGGTCTAATAGTCCGTTTACACGAACTAAATCAAGTAGATCTCAATTGTCAAGATCATTGTAGGTGGATGTGTTCAGTTTCCAGTGGCTATTTTGATGTGTGGCCTGAAGTCTTTAATAAAATAAATTGTCAAAACACACAATTCATAGTAGAAGAATACATGTAGTCGCATCGAAACAGCTGCTAGGACACTGAACTGTCAAACCGATTTTAATATTGAAAATCGTGAATGAAAAATTATTGAAATTTGTAAAAATTGTTGAGAAATGCATATTGTAACAACCTCCGATTTGCATCGTATAAGAAAATATATAAAAATGTACTTATTTTTGACAAAACAATTTTAAAATTTTGACATATCAATGTTCGCAAGCGTTGATGCATCTAACTGTATTCTTCTGCCATGCAAAATACATTATTGGGGTCTAATAGTCCGTTTACACTTACCAAATCAAGTAGATCTCAATTGTCACGGTCATTGTAGGTAGATGCATCAATGTTTGAGAACATTTACAGGGTGAAATAAAAAAACTGCAACAAAATCAAACGCCATAATTTTTTACATTTTTTTTAAATTTCATTGAATGAAAGCAAAAAATGTCGGAAATAGCATCAAATTTTAGAATAAGTTTAGATTTGTTCGAATTGGTCACTTTTGCCACGAATTATGGCCTTCAAAATGCCAATGAAACCGTCACAATCTGCCCGAATGTTGATCTGTGATATTTTCGCCCATTCCCGTCGAAGCGATTGCTTGAGGTGATCGACACTTTGGTATTTTTTAGAGCCATCCTTCCCTCTTTTGAGTCTATTTTCATTCCGTTGCGGTGTAAGTTCCTGAACTTTTTGGAAATTCAATGGCTTTACCCCGAGCTCATTTTTCAATATTTGCCGAATGGAATATTGCGATATGTTCAGCTCACGAGCCAATTTTCGGCCTCTGCGATGCGGGTTTCGATCAAGTCGCTTCCCTAATGTTCGAACCACTGATGTTGATATTTTCCACTTCCTTGACGTCGCTACTGGCTACGCTACCAGTATTACGGTAACGAGCAATGGTACGAGACACAAAAGATTTATTCAGATTTTAATGCTGGAGTTCTCTAACGATAGCCACTTTTGGTTTTCCAGCCAAATATAAAGAAATCACGCTTGAATTCCATCAGGAAAAACTTTTTTTCTGGAAAATTCTCAACAAAATGCTTTTGTACGCTTGTAAACAATAAAATAAGCTGTCACTGGAATAATTTTAACAGCTGTCGGTCGAGAGGCTTAGAAATGACAGCAGTCTGAAGTTGGTTGCATATGTCAAAAATTTTAAATGTTTTTTTTTTTCAAATATAAATAGATTCGTATATGTTTTCCTTTGCGACACCATTTTTTTAACAATTTTTAAAAATTAGAATAAAATTTCATTCAAAAATATCAATTCCAAAAGCGGTTTGACAGTTCATTGTCCCAGCAGTTGCGATGCGACTCTGTATTCATCTACCATGGTATGTATACACAAGGGAATTGCTAAATGAAATCCAATGGATTTGTTATGTGTTAACGACGCTTAAGAATAAATACAGTCCGTTATTTGGAGAGAAAGAAAATATTGACATATATGTAAAGTTGTCTGGCCACACATAAATTTAACTAAAGTATTTCTAATTTTTCAGACCAAAAATCAAATATTACTTGGTTTTATTTCCTGGCGTTTCCAGTTAGAATGGAACCCAAATTCTGTTTTAATGGAAAGCAGGAAATTTTTTTCAGTTTTAGTCTAAAGTCAATTCAAAAGCAAGTCAATAAGAAATTTATGAAAAATTTCATTTTCTATTTTCTTATTTGTTTCTATACAAGAAATAACATGATTGTTTATATGAAAGAAAAAAATAATAATGAATAGAAGACAATGTCAATAATCATCATAAATCATCAATAAACATTAGCCCACAAAAAAAAACGACAACAACAATTATTGGAATTCTATTTAATATACAAACACATAAGCTAGAAATCCAATTTGAAACAAAACAAAAAAAAAAATCCCCAACAAATTATTAAAAATAATAATAATATTATTACAAAATATAAAATGGTAAATTGAGTAAAGAATGCTTAGCTTTGTGTTAAATTTGCTGTTAAATGTAAAACAAACAAAAATTAAGAATTAAACCATAAAAAAAAATAATTATTGTAATAATACCATATGTTAATATTGATTGAATGATGGATAAAAACCCGTAAAACAAAACAAAATGAAATGATATTATTATTAAATGAAAACCAAACCAATTGACATTTACAGAAATAATGCATAAACAATTTAATGGTATGATAATGTGGAAAAAACAAAATTAAACCGTAACAAAATTAATTATAATTTTAAAATAAAATGAAAAACAAACAAACTATACAAAAAAAAATAAATAAAAATAATTAAAAAAAAAAACAATGTGTTTTATTAAAGCTATAAATGTAAATGAGAGGAATAGTACAATTAACTAAGGATATCCTAAAAGTACGCCTTTTGTCTTGAAGATTAATCTTGTGTGTTTACATATAATGGTCGATCAGCTGATATTTGTTTATGTTTATCATTATTTATTTGTTATGTTCACCAAAAAAGTCCCCTAAGCAGGCGTGTCGATTGAAGCTAAAATTGAGACAATTAGAAAATAAGTATTCCTTTATTTTTTATGTGTCTTGGCAAGGAAAATATTGCATGACGTCGATTTTAGCTGTCAATTTCGTCAAATGTTAAATCCGATGGATTTTATTTTAGGTATACGATATGGAACTGACAGTTGAATTCTATTGAAGTTATTATGTGTGTAGAGCGCTTAATAGTTCGCTCATCTATTGATCTATAGCTCTACTTCATTTTCAACTTTTTACTCAAAATGTGTTTCTGTACACTGCTGTCATATTCAAAGGAGAGTTATTTGAACACTTCACTATTTCTTTTTTCTTTTATATTTCAACTGTCAATTCCATAGCTTGCTCCTAATTTTATGCTTAAAATAAACGATTTTAACTAAACTAGTTCCGTTGCTTGTTTCAGTGAACCGTTCATATAAACTATTGAAAACATGCTTTAAAAGTCATTATCGAGATTAATTTTCCGTTAAATGTATGAAAACGTAAGTAAAATGATTCAATTGTCGCAGTAGTGCCATCAAATTTAAAAATAGACTAACAACAAGGCTGCAAAACATGAAAAAAATTAGAATTTTTTTTGCCGTGTAAACGCTAAAGTAATGGGAATGGTGTAAACCAAACTATTCCTGTTGCTCTTTCCGATGAATCGTTAAATTGTACCAATTTACAATTCTTAGTTCACACTGAACATACCCCATTCATTATGGAGATTCATTTGCTGTTATTTGTGTTAAATGTCATGTGTCAATAAGTCAATTATTACAGCGGCGGTATCTAATGTAAACGTAGCTCTAATAGAATGCTTTGGAATTACTGTTTCTATAAAAAAGAAACCAAAAAAGAGCCAAAATTACATTTGTTTATTCAGAGTTGTATTTTAAAATAGCTGTGCGTCATGTAAACGTGGGGCAATGAATGGAATGATTCAAACTAAACTCACCCGCTTTTATGCCTCATAAAATTCTACACCATACATTGTGGAATAGACATATGGAAAAAATATATTAGAGGAAGAAGTAAACTCGTCCCCTTGCTCATTTCAATGAATCGTTGAATTGAACCCTGTGAACAATTCTGAGTTCACACTGAACATACCCCCACTCACAGACGAACCGTCCGTTCATTCAATGAAGAGATGTTATTCTTCCTGAGATTATTTTAACGACAAATAATATAAATAATTGAATAAAAATTAACAAACAAATTCTACACAACAGTTTGCAACAAAAGCCAAAGCACAGAAAAGGGCAAAATGAAACAGGAATTAAGTGACAAACGTGATATACGGCCATTCGTTTATGGTGGTCTAGCATCTATTATTGCGGAATTTGGTAAGTAACTAGACAATTTGTTGTTATTGTTGTGTGTTTTTTTATTAACAAATATATGTAAAAAAAAAAAAATAATGAATATTAAAGAACATTGCATTTGCTGCGGGTAATTCAAAACAATATGCATGACGCAATATTCAGCAGATAATTGGAAATTAGTGAAATTAAGAAGTTGTTGTTGTTGTAAACAATACGGAGATGTCTCAGGTGGAACTGGACCCCTTAGATGGGTGATTATGCCACCTCCCGCCCCTTTTGAGGGGGAGGTAATGAGTGCCACAGATTTGTTGTTGCTAATGGGTTAATGTCCAAATTCTGTCGGGAATTATTGTGACAGGGTGAGGGGAGGAGATGATTTGTTTTTTGCAATCATCCATCCATCTAGCCATGTGAATGTCGCTGTCTCGTGTTTGTTCTTATCACTTGTTTTTGTTGTTTCTATGTTTCCACCTAAATTTGTTGTCTTGATTTATTACAAAGCGGCGACAGAGGGTATTATTGTCTTTGTTTGTGTTTTCAATTAATCTACCCACGTAGGTGTTTCCATTTACTGTTTGTTTACATGTACCGAATGCAGCAAAAAAAAATATGATGGGAAAATTGTTAACATAGTACACATGTGAAAATGTATTATTATTTTATATAATATTTTGTTTTTGGGAATTATTTATCTGATGAGTTTTCTTTCTTTTGCATTTTAGGCACCTTTCCAATTGATACAACAAAAACCCGCCTACAAATCCAAGGTCAAAAGCATGATAAAACATTCTCCCAGCTACGTTATCGTGGCATGACAGATGCCATGATTAAAATAAGTCGTGAAGAAGGTTTGAAAGCACTGTACTCAGGGTAAGTGGGAATGATTTGATACTAGATGTTATATTAAATAGAATATTCAATACTATATTTTAGACCTTTTATGAAAGGGATTTGTTTCTATTAGAGTCTTGGTGGCTTTCCCCACTGTCTATCACTTTCAAACAATGCGATTTAGTACAACTGACCTGAACTCGCTGGGGAAAGACACACAAAGTTTTATAAAAGATGAACAGTTTCAGAGTATAAATGTATTTTTCATTCATTGAAAACTAATACCTTGAAAATAACTATAAAATTTTTTTCTAAATTCTTTTAGACACGTTTCTGATAATACCACATGATTAAATTTCAAAAGTCCAAAAAAAAAAAATTAATTATGGTCTATAAAAATGATAACAATTAAAACCCTGGGAATTAGAAAAATTAGCGGCGTAAAATTAAAATTATGGCTAGTCATGACAATGTCTATTTCATACATGTACAAAAGTCAATGTCATCGACGAAATATCGGTCAAACTTTCTTTCAAATCTACAGCCACTTTATCAATCTGAAGGGGGGGTATATTCTTAGGAAATTAGTACAATTTTAAAAATAACATTCATTGTGGAAATATAGTCACGTAAGATTTTTTTTGCTTATTTCACCAGGCTGCACGATAAGCTGTCGCAGCAATCCAAGTGGTATGACGTGAATCTGTGACTGTAAACAATAATATGCACATGTTTACAATAATCTAGAATTATTTTTTTCGCATCGTGGCATTTGTTTTTTTTCTGTGTTTTCATTACTATAAAGTTGTTTACATGGGAGGCAATGATGCGGTTATTTTCCACATCAGACCCCCCATGGTACTTGAGAGCAATTGGAAACAACAATTTTGAAAAACAAATTGTGATTTGATTCAAAAAGACAAACAGAACGAATAATAATCAGGCATGTCACAGAATGTAAAATCGTTCAAGAGTGAAAACGAAAACGGTTTTAGCTTCTCTAAAAAACGGAAAACGCAAAAATGTTGCGTTTTGATATCACTTTCAAAAAGCAGGGTGAAATTGAAATGTTTAGTGATTTTAACGTAAAAAATAAACAGAAGACACATACATTTAACAGAAAATATTGTATTAACCAAATTCTCTTAGAATGAACATGTTTTTGGAATTTATTTTACAAAAAATCTATTATTTTTCTAATCCATGATGAAAACGCAAAAAAATATGCAGAAATGAACGGCAGACTTGTATTGTTGAATTATTGCAATATGTGTTGAAGAAGCAGGTGTAGAAATGTACAACTGACAGACCAAAAAGCAAAAAAGTACAATTTCGACTTTCTTTTTTCTTCGGAAGACATTCTTAATTTGATCCAATGTGGACAAATTTCAGCTTCAATTGCATTAATAACTCTCCACATAATTGTAGAAACTGTACTTCTCCCAAGGCTTAGCTCCACATCTCTACCTATAACTCTTTGAAATGCACCCGTAGCCAAAAACCTAAGCGTTGTTGCAAGCTGGATAATAGCCGGTATATTGGAACGTTTGAGGTGGGGAGAAATTTTTTCCAAAACTAAAACAAAAGCTTCTTTATTTAGCCGATAATAAGTTATAAATCTGTAGAAATAAATTATTATTAAAATAAATTTGAAAACAACTCATTGCTGGTGGATCCTTACACTGCATTTGAGTGAGATAAAGGATCTGATGCGTTCCTCAATATCCGGCGACAATTTTTTCAGTAGACTGCTGATTTATTTCTTCATCCATTACAGCAAGTATTGAAGCCCCTGGCATTTTTACTTTTGGTGTTTATATTATAAAAAACAATTTAAACTCCTTTTTTAATTGTCAATAATTTGTTTACGACTTTTTTTTCATGGAGTTACCATATTTTTATTTCAAAAATGTGAAATGATTTTTTTTCCGGACTAGTCAAAACGTACGAGTGCTGAAGAAGCAAAAGCAAATCGTAACGATTTGGAAAAGGTGAAATAAATCGATTTCGTAAAACTTCTGTGACATGCCTGAATATGTCAGATATTTGAACGATAAATGCCCACTGTGGCTTTGCATTTAACGACAAATGCGCACTGTGGCTATTTAAATGGTAGTGGCCAACTGTGGACGTCTTTAGATGTCTGCTGTGGTCATCTTTATGTCAATAGATTTGTGAGATCTTTTGGACTATAAATGCCCACTGTGGGTTTGCATGCGCACTGTGGCTATTTAAATGGTAACAGCCACTGAAGCCGTCTTTAGATGTCGCTTTGGTCATCTTTATGTCAATAGATTTCGCATTTTGTCTGAAAACTGAAGCCCACTGTGATCACCTACCTTAAAAACAAGGCCCCTGTGATATCCCATCCGGCATTAAGCTAATATATAATTTGAAATTTAAAATCAACTTTTCCATAATTATTAATTGTCTTTTGTTTTTGTTAATTTCAGAATATGGCCCGCCGTTTTAAGACAAGCCACCTATGGAACTATTAAATTTGGTACCTACTATACCCTAAAGAGTGTGGCAAGTGAACATGGCCTGCTGGTGGATCCCGATACGGGGACAGAACGTGTTTGGGGTAATATATTATGTGCGGCGGCATCGGGTGCCATCTCCTCGGCCATAGCCAATCCTACAGATGTGCTCAAGGTGCGAATGCAGGTACACGGGAAGGGTACACAACAACAGAGTCTGTGGGCATGTTTCTACGATATTTACAAATATGAAGGTGTGCGTGGCCTATGGCGTGGCGTTTGTCCCACGGCCCAACGGGCTGTGGCCATTGCATCTGTAGAATTACCTGTATATGATTTTTGTAAATTACAATTGATGGGCATGTTTGGTGATCATGTGGCCAATCATTTTGTGTAAGTGCTCTGTAGGTTTTCAAGGGAAAGATTTTTATTTTAATTAAATGTTTTTTGATTTATAGTTCTAGCTTTATTGCAAGTTTGGGCAGTGCCATTGCCTCCACACCCATTGATGTTGTACGAACCCGCCTAATGAATCAAAAACCGGTTACAGTGGTAAACGGCATGGTGACAGCGGCAACGACGCAAAAACTCTACACCGGCAGCATAGATTGTGCCCTGCAGGTTAATATAAAAATGATTCCTTTTTTTAACCCTAACTAATTTTCTATTTTATATTTTCAGACGGTGCGCAACGAAGGTTTTCTGGCGCTGTACAAAGGCTTCATACCCACCTGGGTGAGAATGGGCCCCTGGAATGTCATATTCTTTATAACCTATGAACAACTCAAGAAATATTGAAACTATTGCTGTTGTTAAATGCAAGAAAACCTCAAAAGAACAATCTACAAATTGATGTTGGTACAAACTAAAGCTGTAGAAAAACACACACACACATGTAGCTACATACATGTGTTGTAGGATAGGGTCCATAATGATAATGTCTTCTCACCGAAAACACCAGACACACAAAAGCAAACAAACAAACGACTTAGAAACCAAATTATTAGATTTTGTTCATTTAGTTTAGTAAGTAGGCCTATTTAAAACCCAATGGTTTTTAAACAGTTTAACTTATTTTACCATGTTTCCTTCCTGAAGAGAAAGAAATATTGTAAGTTTTCCTTGTAGTCGCCACTCTCCCTAGATAGCTTTACACAAAAGTTTCGTTAAGTATTACTAAACTTCATTTTATGTTTCTTTTTCATTTCTCATTTCTTCGTTTTACATCATCATCAATTTAGAGTATTTTTCCCCCTTCTTTTGTATCAACCTATGCATTTCTATTGGCATTAACTTCTTTTACACAAATGAACGACTCCAAACTGGAACATTTATTTGGCGGCATTTCATTAGAAGACATATGAGTTAAAAATTAATAGTCATTTAGTTTTCCTTCTTCTTTCGTAGTTTTAAGAATTTGTTGCTTTGCATAATTATTATATATAAATACATATGTGCACAGTATGTATATAAGTAATTTAATCTATGCAAATTAAATAAAAAAAATGAAATCTCCTGTTATGTGTTAAGTAAATTAAAGAAACAAAAAAATATCAAATAAAAAAACTGAAAAATATTTCAAAAGGGAAATTTGTTTATGTTTGGAGGCCATGTGAGGACAGTTGCCAACTATGGTAATCTATATTACAATAGAAGTTCACTGTAAACATCTATATAGCCATGGATTCCACTGTGGTTATCAGTGGGCTATTCTGCCAACATCATAGAAAACCCGAGTACTTTTGGCACAATTAAGATAAAGATGGTGCATCCGCCTCAATTCGTATTGAGCCCGGATTGACAGTAGCGTGCAAAGCACCTACCCAGCATGTGGCACAGGCCAGCATAGCATGCCCCAAACAACCAAAATTACTCACTTAACTCCGGTAACGTTATAAACACAACCTATACAAATTGCTTCCTTCTTGAATTTGAACCAAATGCTTTCAGACTGCTTTCATTTCTAAGCCACTTGCCCGACAGCTGTTAAAATTATACCAGTGACAGCTCATTATATGGTTTACAAGCGTACAAAAGAATTTTGGTGAGCATTTTCCAGAAAAAAAGTTAATTGTGATGGAATTCAAGCGGGATAGTGTGATTTCTTTCTATTTGGGTGGGGAAACCACAAGTGGCTATCGTTAGAGCACTCCAGCATTTAAATGTGAATAAATCTTTTGTGTCTCGTACCATCGCTCGTTACCGTGATTCTGTCACTAGTAGCGTAGCCCGACATATGTCATGGAAGTGGACGGAAGAAAACAGCAACGTCCGCAGAAATGGTTCGAAAAGTAAAGAAACGACTTGATCGAAAACCGCGTCGCAGTGGCCGAAAAATGGCTCGTGAGCTGAACATATCCCAATATTCCATTCGGCAAATATTGAAAAATTAGCAATGAGCCATTGAAATTCCAAAAAGTGCAAGAACTTACACCGCAACAGAAATAGAATCAAAAGAGCTAAAAAGTTGCTTCGCTTGGCCGAATGTGGTGAACTGTCGAATTTGGTTTTCTCCGATGAGAAAACATTCGTTGTCCAGCAGTTTATAAACAAACTAAATGATCGTGTTTACTTGCCAAAGAGGTCAACGGAAAATGTGCACCTTCGGTTGGCCATCAGAATTCAAGCGCCGGCCACAGTGGTGGTGTGGGCCGCCATAACAGCCGATGGTCGCTCTCCGCTCGTATTAATCGACCGTAGCATCAGAATATATGCCGAATATTATTGCGAAAATATTCTGGAGGGTGTGTTAAAGCCTGGGGCATGCAAACATTTTGGCTGCACACCCTGGACATTCCAACAGGACCAACAGCACCATAGCACTCAGCATGCGCCACCCAAAAATGGTTAGAAAATGAGGTTCCTCTCTTCATTTCCAGCGCACAATGGCCACCAAAATCTCCGGATACCAAGCCGTTGAACTATTGTGTCTAGAGTATTTTGGAAAGCAAGGTCGGCACTAAAAAATACCAAAGTCTCGATGACCTCAAGCAAGCGCTTAGCCGGGAATGGGTCAAAATACCGCAGAGCAACATTCGGGCAGCGTGTGACGGTTTCATTGGCCGTTTAAAGGGAAGTAATTCCTGCCAAAGGTGACTAATTCGAAAAAAATCTAAACATATTCTAAAATTTGATGCTATTTCCGACATTTTTTGCTTCCATACAAAAAATTGCAGTTTTTTTATCTCACCCTGTGGCAATCTTTACTACCATGAAGATGTGTATCAAGAGCAGGCAATCTGTATGACAACAGAATAACACTCTAGCCTTTTTGGAAAAAATGGAAGCCATAGTCATCCATTTGATCTTGGATACTCTGTATGGTCGTCTTCTGGCAATAGATGCGAACTGGAGCCATTAATTTCACAATTTAATAGATTTAAATGACAGCATTTGAAATTTGATAGCATTTCCATCGTTGCGCCTCAAAGTATGCTTTGAGATTTAGCAATTTTGTATGAGACCATTTGAATTGTTTGGCCTTTCATGGTTTTTATGGCCGTAATTTTTAATTAATTTTTAATTTTAGGACCGTTTATTATTTAAAAATATTAATATTATTATAAATGTTAATGTTTTAATTGTATAAATTATATTTATTTTATTTATAAAAACTACAATAATTAGAATTTTATAATACCCAATTGAATTATAATTTTTATATTTGGAGGGATCTTTTTGTGTTTATATTTGCTTTAATTTGTATTTATTCTTACTTCTAGTCAGTCTGAAGTTGGCTTCAGTTTTTTCATCTCACCCTGTAGATGTCCACTATTTTTATTTATATTACGAAAGATGTGCACTGTTACCATTTCCAATACCCTAGAGGCCCATTGTGGTCATCAATTTTACGACTGACGATCTTTGTTACAATAGATGCTCATTGTGGTAACCTATGAAGGAATAGGTGTCTACTGGGGTCATGTTTATTACTATAGATGTATATTTTGTTGTTATATGTCCACTGTGGTATCCTATACTACCGTGAAAATATGTATCTAGAGTGGGCAGTCTGTATGACAACAGAATGACACTCTAGCCTTCTATTTGGGGAAAATAGAAGCCATGCTCATCCATTTGATCTTGAATTCCCTCTATGGTCGTCCTCTGGCAATAGATGCGAACTGGAACCATTAGTTTCAAAATATAATAGATTTAAATGACAGCCTTAGCAATTTGATCACATCTGCGTCGTTGCGCCTCAAAGTATGCTTTAAGTTTTAGCAGCTTTGTATGAGACCATTTGAATTGTTGGGCCTATCAATGACATTAACTTTTATTTAATAGTTAAATAATAATTTTAAGACCATTTATTATTTAACAATTAAAACTATTATAATTGTTATTAATTTAATTACATTAAATATATTTATTTTATTTATAATAACCACAATAACTATAATTTTATAACAGCTAATAGAATTATAATTTTTATGTTTGGATGGATCTTTTTTATGTTTATATTTCTTTTAATTTATATGTATTCTAGTCATGTTAGAATTAAGAAGAGAACTTTGATCAAGATCGGCCCCAAGCCACTCATTGACATCGAAAAAAAACTAAAAAATCTGATAATAATGCGTGAAACCATTTACCCTCTATTAGCCCTCGGGCCATCTGACACCTTTCATTTAACATAATTCCATACAAGACATAACGACAGAAATTCCACAATAATTATCCATTATTAAGTCAAGCGGACGGATGTACGGATGAACGAATGACTGGATGGTGGAAAGGGGGAAAACAAAATATTTTTCAGAAAAAAAAATCATTTCATTTGTTTTTTAAGTGTTTTGTTGATTTTGTGGTTGTTGCCATTTGCCGCCAGTAATTTTCGCATTGTTTTCACCTATGATAACGATGATTTGACATGTTTTGTTATGCTTACTATTTGGCACTTCGGTCTATCTTTTGATGAAGATAATAATTCTCAATAAAACCAATTATATTTGTCTTGCGAATAAAAGGAGCGAAAAACTTTCCATCAATCGAATTTAAAGAAGATAATTCAAAACAAAAAAATAATAATAAAATATAATAAAATAAATAAAAAAAATAAAAAAATAAAAAATAAAATAAAAACGTGGGGAATAAATATTATGTCTATGTAACAAAGAGATCCCCCTGTTTAAATTGATGTCCACAACTGTTAGGTTCCACTATGAATTTTGAAGATTTTTGTTTTCTAATTTTTATTTTTGGAATTTCTTAATAATCTCTCCCTAAATTATAAGGCTGTCAATAAACGCATACAATTGAAATTCAATTCAATTGATAATTAATATTTAAAATCTTCAGTTTTTTTATTTTGTCTTTATCGAAAGTAATTAATGGTGGCTTTAATTTCTCACATATCAAACGGATAGCTTTATTAAATCAATAGTATATACATATGTATGAATATTTATTAATGGATATATAAATGTGTAAATTTGCTTTAAATTATACTACCAACCGAAAATGAAAGGTCGCCAAATGCTACAGGCAGATGACGCTTGATTAATGTGCTACACGTGTTATGGTTGTGGGCCTTTCAGTATAGCCAGGTTGTGGGTTGTGACCCATATAAAGGGTTAATTTTTCCATGACAAAAGAAAAAAAATTAAATTTTGAATTTCAATTTAAAATTAAAGAAAAATGTTCAATTATTTAAATATATTTTGACTTCTGTTATGATTATTCGAATAGTTGATTGAAATTTGCTTGAGGTTCCAGTTATAGTCGACCGAAGTATTCCATTTTCATACTTCATCTAATGCAGATAAAAATATTGGTTGGGCAAAATTACAAGAAAATCGAAAATTTATATTCAAGTTTATGCGAAATTCAAAATTCCATATGTATCTCAGGATTCTGGTTGAGAAATATTAAGATATAGGAAGTTGTAAAGAATCGCTGGCCTATTTCGCAAATTATGACAGATAAAAGTATTTAAAAATGGGGACCCTTTGTGGGTGAGGTACCAGAAGGGGTTCGCAGATATATATCATCGATGTTAATTTCGCGTTTTAGGAGCTGTAAGGATATTCAAATTTTTGACCATCTGTGGGGGAGGTACCAAAAGGAGTGGACCGATATATCCCATCTTCACAGCAGATCTTGTGTTAGTAGAAATAATGGGAAGTGCGAAATTTGAGGAGAACCAGATGCTTATTTCGGATTTAATAATCAGTTTTGTTATTTGAAACTTTGGCCCTCTGTGGGGGTGGTACTAGAAGGTGTGGACCGATGGATCCCATTTTCGCAGCACATCTTGTGCTAATAGAAATGATGTGAAGTATGAAATACGAAGAGAATCGGATGCTTATTTCGGATTTTATAATCGTTTTTGGGCTTTCAAAACGTTGACCCTTTGTGGGGGAGGTACCAGAAGGAATGGTCCGATCTCTACCATCTTTATAACAGATCTTGTGTTAGTCGAAATATTGAGATTTGCCAAGTCTGAATGGAATCGAATGTTAATTTCGCGTTTTAGGAGCTTTAAGAATATTCAAAATTTTGACCCCTTGTGGGAGAGGTACCAGAAGCAGTACACCGATAAATCCCATCTTCACAGCGGATCTTGTGTTAGTAGAAATAATGGGATGTGTGAAATTTGAAGAGAGTTGGATGCTTATTTCGGATTTTATAATCGTTTTTGCTATTCAAAAATTTGACCCTTTGTGGGGGAGGTACCAGAAGGAATGGTCGGAGCTCTACCATCTTTTTACCAGATCTTGTGTTGGTCGAAATATTGAGATTTACCAAGTTTGAATGGAATCGGATATTAAGATCGTGTTTTATGAGCTTCATGAATTTTCAAAATTTTGACCATTTGTGGGGGAGGTACCAAAAGGAGTGGACCGATATATTCCATCTTCACAGCCGATCTTGAGTTAGTAGAAATAATGGGATGTGTGAAATATGAAGAGAACCGGATGCTTATTTCGGATTTTATAATCGTTTTTGGTTTTTCAAAACTTTGACCCTTTGTGGGGGAGGTACCAGAAGGAATGGTCCGATCTCCACCATCTTTATAACAGGTATTGTGTCGATGAAAATATTGAGGTTTGCCAAGTCAGAATGGACTCAAAGGTTAATTTCGCGTTTTATGAGCTTTAAGGATATTCAAAATTTTGACCAATTGTGGGGGAGGTACCCGAAGGAGTTGACCGATATAACCCAACTTCACAGCAGATCTTGTGTTAGTAGAAATAATGGAATGTATGAAATTTGAAGAGAATCGGAAGCTTATTTCGAATTTTATAATCGTTTTTGGTTTTTCAAAACCTTGACCCTTTGTGGGGGAGGTACCAGAAGGAATAATCGGATCTCTACCATCTTTATAACAGATCTTGTGTTGATGGAAATATTGAGATTTGCCAAGTTTGAATGGAATCGGATATTAAATTCGCGTTTTATGAGCTTCGTGGATATTCAAGATTTCGACCCTTGGGGGAGGTACCAGAAGGAGTGGACCGATATGTGTCATCTTTACCTTAGACTTTAGGTTAATAGAAATATTGTGATGTGTGTAATTTGAAGACAATCGGACTCTTACAGCACAATTTATAGGAGTTATATTTATTCAAAATTTTGACCCTTTGTGGGACAGGTACTTGATGGAGTGAACCGATATTGTCCATTTTCACATCTGACCTACAACTATTGCAAATATTACGATTTGCAAAGTTGGAGCTAAATCGGCATATCCTTTCTCTTTCTGTGCAGTAAAATATTTTTTGAAAATGTTGTTTCTTTGTGTGGAAGGTACAAGAAGGAGAGGACCTACATATATTGCCCATCTCCGAACTCGATATAAGTTTGATAATAATAATATTATGATGTACCAAGTTTGGACCAAATCGAATAATGCCTTCCAGAGTTATTGTGCCCACCAGCCAGCCAGGCAGAAGGACGGTCATTGCCAGATCGACTCCAAATATCCTGAAACGGGTTTTGTCCAAAGAGAACTAGGCCCTAAAACCGTTATTTCGATGAGGCACGTTTTGGCCATATCAAATGATATATACTAGGGAGGCTATTAAAACTTACCCAACTCGCATGGTATATTTATATGCCTTGGTATAATTCTTCTTCTTATACCAATGCCCCACTCTCCAAATTATGAAATTTTTTAGCATGTCTTTGATTGCTCCAACGTCATCCGAACGCCCACCTATTGTCCAAATACCATTCACAAATGTCTGTTATTTTTTTATTTTGGTATTTTGATGGCTCTCCAAGTGTGACGCTTCCTAATTTACATTGACGTCAAACGGCTGAGAGAGATATATCTGCGAGGGTTTTACCAAATATTTTTTTTTTTTGTTTATATCTT